CACACACACACACACACACACACACACACACACACACACACACACACGTGGAGTGAAATGTGGATAATGTGCTACATTTATTTATATCTACAAATTATATTTTTAAATATATGAAAAAAGATCGGGAGGTTGTAAAGCTGGTGAAGTTTTGACTCACCACTGACAGTATAAACCTCCTGAGGTGTCGGTAGATAGGAAGGTGTATCATCTCCTGCACCGGATTGAAGTCTGGATCGTTCAGGTTTCGCAAAAACCACAGAACGCCTGGTCGAAGTACCTGCTCACACACAAAGGTTAAAGCTAAGAAAAAAAACGCTGAAAATATAGAAAATGTTGATGTTTCTTTGCTTTTTACAACATACATCTGTGACCTGATGATGTTCTTGACTTACCTCTCGAAGCAGAAGGATGAAGGAAGCAAAGTAAAATACGTAGACCATGCCAACAAGCCAGTGAAGGAACATGGTGGTACCAGGAGCAGAGTCAAAACTCTGTTCCCTGTCCTTCAGAGTTGCATCAAACATTTCCTGCAATAATTAAAAAAGACAAGTACTTTCATATAATTACTCAAAAAAACCCTGTTTCTAGAAACTGGTGTCAGTGTAAAATCTGAAGATTTTTTTTTGTTCCTAATTGTTGACAATCTTGGTTTTTTTTTCTTAAGAAATGATGCAACTGAACCAGAAAACTAAAATGTGGTACGTTCTGCAACTTTGTCTTACCAGTGAACAAATGTCGAGCCACCAACCACATATGAGCGGGAACAGGCCTATCTCCATGATAACCAGCAGGGACACCTGGGAAACAAGCCTTGCAATTATTTATTTATTAACCTTTATTTAAGCAGGCAAATTCCAATGAGATCACAGATCTCTTCTGCAAGGGAGGCCTGGGCCTGAAGCCGTCTAACATGCATGTTTTTGGTCTGCGGGAGGAAACTGGAGTACCTGGAAAAAACCCACACATGCACGGAGAGAACATGCAAACTCCACACAGAAAGACCCCAGGTCCAACCAGGGATTGAACCCAGGACCTTCTTGCTGTGAGGCAACAGTGTTAACCACTGAGCCGTCGTGCTGCCAATTAAATTGCTGTTTTTAAGTAAACACAACTTTCTTAATTGCTGCCGACAGAGATCGTTTAGTTGTTTGTTTTATGAACAAACAAAAAAATAAGAGTGTGCAGTGGTTCTTTAGTTTACCTTGATAACAATGTAGCAGACACCTAGAAGACGCCGGGACCGCTGGAACTTCACTAATGAAGCCACTGTCTACAAGAGGCAGTTAGGGAAGAGCTGACCTTAATTTTTGTTGACAAGTACAAGAAAGAAGGTTGATCTCTTTTTAATAAAGGACACCAGCGCATAGGATAAACATTTTAGACAAATTCTATAGAGCTTGTCATAAAACGGGGCAAAAAACTTAACTGGACACTACACAATCAAAGTCTAATAAAAACCCAATGGGTACACGCTGAACATAATTTCCATACAAAGCCGTTTGCAATGTGTAGAGGATACATGGCAGACAACAAGCGCTCCAGCCAGGAGAATATATCCCAGTATCGTTGTGACGAGGCCATCAAAATGTGACGCTTTAACCTGCAGCCAGGAAGAGCAACATTAAGACGTTCCATTAATGCAGGCCATACCTGAATACAGTTTGATAGTTTCTCCTTGTGTATTCTAGTGAACTTACATAATCTTCAAAGCCCAGTCCAACTACTGAAAAATGTCCAATGTGATATGGGCAAAAAGCTAGAGGGAAACGCAGACATTAAGTCAGAGCTTTTAGAGTGGAAAACGCAAAGACATTGCTGAAGAGTGAAACAAGTATAAGTTCTCAATTCAAGTGGACTGGGAGCATTAAAACTCTGTCAAAGGCAATGACTTGATATAGCCTCACCAAAAACCAGGATGAAGAGTGTGTTAAGAGATACCACCCAGAATACGTGCTCCTATAAAAGAAACATACGCCAACGCTATCACGCTTTATTATATGTACTTTCTACCTGTCTGGTTATAAGCTGCAACCGTAACTGTGTGAGAGAGAGTAGTATAAAAGAGAGAGTCCATACTTACCAAGAAAACTAGGGAGCCATCAAGCCCCAGCATCTGAGACACACATTAAACACAAAGTTAAAATGACCACTTAAGACTTGGCAAATATAAAGTAACAATTCAATTCAATTAAAAAAATACTTCATTAATCCCAAAGGGAAATTAAATGTTGTAACTCGGCATCCTGGTTTAATTAAAGAGTTGAGTTGGAGTTTTATTAACACAAAATAGTATAATCCAGAGTGCTATGTATGCACTGCACACACAGAGATGGACATTTTCTCTTAAAGATTTCAACACAACTGTGTCTGCCTACTAAAAGATAAGCTCTGACTGGTATATGGACTGTACTTATATAGCATCTTTCTATCTAATCAAGATACTCAAAGCGCAATCTGTGCCCTCTACCCATCCACACACATCCACACAGCACTCTACTACATCTCTACAAAGCTAATCTGAATCTGTAGAGACTAATCAGGGCTTAAGATCACATTCATACACTGATGGGACACACATTGGAGGCAGTGAGGTCTTGTGTCTTGCCCAGGGACACTTCAACATGTGACTGCTGGTGGAATCGAACCCCCAACTCTCCTGTTGGAGGACAACAGCTCTAACCACTCAGCCACAGGTGCCCCATCCCCTCTGAACACTGCATTCTTTTTGGTATATTGCCATGACTCTGTCGCCCTACAGTATAAACCAGATGATAGAGAAATAGATACTTCTCACCCTTTCCCAGGTCAGCTCCTCTGCTGCTCTGTCCCACTCCAAGGCGTTCCAGTTCAAATCTTCTGCAAATAAGAAATACAAACAGGGATACAGAAGATAACAGAGTAAAAAAAAACCAGGTTCCTGGTTACAAATTTCTGCACACTCTTCAGATTACATTCATCAAAAAGAGATTCTTGAATTTATTCAGTCCATTATGGCCTTTACCAAACAAGAATATAACATATGACACATTACATTCCCGTTGACAAACCATTATACAGCAATCCACAGCAATGGTCCGAACAATTAAAGACTTTGCATAACTTTGACCTTGATTTTTTACCTTGACCTTACAGCTTGGGTCATGAAAATAGTATGTGACACTGTCTAGTGCTTGTACAAATTCATATCAAGTATTAATTATCTTGAGCGGATCAGAGGTTATGGCACAAACAAGCAAAGACATTGTATAACAACTGGCCTTGATTTGTGACCTTGAAATGGTCACAAACACTAAAAACTATTTTAAAGCTAGTTTTGTTCATAAGGCTCCGATTGAGATAAGGGTTTAATGTTTACCTTGTCCTCCATTATTGGCATCAGCAGCATCCTCTTCTCTCCCTTCTTCTTCCTCTCCTTCTTCATCTTCATCACCATCATCGTCGTCGTCGTCATCATCATCATCATCGTCCTCTCCACCATCCTCGTCCGGTTCAGCTTCTTCTCTGTGCTGGTGTCCCAGTGCCTGCTCGTTGGGACCGACCTGTGCGGGGGCGCCTGCAGCCTCTGCAGCAGCTTGAGCATTGGCTGCAGCATTAGCAGCTGGATTCTGCAGTCATTAAAATTAATAATAAAATAGTTACCGTTTAATAATAGATATACAATTAAATGAGGGACCATTTGGCTTTATACTTGCTCACTAACAACACTTTAAAATTTGGTCAAATTTATTAAATTACTCTAACAAATGAAAACAGATCACCCTCTTCATCACTGATTCTGATAAATTTGCTCCTAACTGCATTTTGATATCTAATAATGAGAGCAGAGCTTTGACAGTTTCTGTCAAGCATTGTTTTACATGTTTTAGTTATTTCTATACTAGCGTAGGTAGCCTAGCATGCACAGTTTTCCCTGATTTGGTCAATGCAAATGTGACGCAACACTTAAAAGCAGCAAACATAAAACTACAATAATTATTTATATCCACATTAAAAAGTATTTTCTTTAAACTTAACCCGAACAAAATGTCATTGAAAGAACTAAAAGAATATTTAGCAATAATTGAAGCTCTGAAGGCTCTACACATTATTAGACAGGTGTGACGGATCAGTAAATTTAAGCACATAATGTCTTACACGTTGTTAAGGAAGAAAAAACAGAAGACAAGAATCTTGCATGACATCAGCATGAACTGAGCTCACCTCATTAGCTCGTGCAGGACCATCAGGCTGGTTAGGGACCAGAGGAGGTTGATTCTGCTCTAACCACTGTGGGGCTCCACCGTGGACGATCTGCTCTCTGAGCCACACCAGACTGATGAAGGCACACAGAGTGCATGTGACCACAAAACAGCCCTGGAGGCAGTCAGCAAGCAGGTTCTGCCTGCAAGTTCAACACCACAGGGAGACAATGTCCACAACAGTCAAAAACTGTCCAGAGGGTAGCAGCTGGATGACTTAAGGTTCAAAGTATGAATGTGTATACCTGAAAAGACAAGAAGGTGACTCTACACATACAAACAATTTTTAAAATCAATGCAGACCAAGATTGTTGAAAAGTGGAAGGTGGCCTTACTGAAATTGTACTCAAGTTTCTCTGACAAAAAAAACACGTGTTTTTGAACTATAAGAACCTTTTCATGTTTTATATAACTTAGTGTACAGTACAGTATGCAGTGTGTACAAAACATCCATTAATCTATCCAGAATCCCGATGTCGGTTAAAACAGCTTTATCTGAAAGTGCTACAGGTCAGAAAAAAGCTGGGATTCACATGTTCAGCATATTTGCTGTGTAAAGCATCAAAAACACAAATGTGTACAAGGACAAAGTCAGAAAGACTAAACCAAAAGCCAGACTTACGTTGAAAGCATATCTAACGGCAGCGTAAGAAGAGAGCTCACAGAGCCAGTAAATAAACACTTGTAGATGCGACCTGTTAGGAAAGCACAAACAAAAGATGATTACCATAACAACAACGCTAGTAAATCTATTTTTATGTTTTATTGCACATTATTGTGAACTAAAACTAAAAATTTAATTATTAAATTTAGAAAACAAACAAACTGAGCTTTACTTCAAAGCCAATGCTTGGAATTTACCATTGTCCAGGGTGCTAACAAAATACTGCAAAAACCTGCTCTTGGTAAATAAGCCCAAAAAATCAGAGTACCGTATTTTCCGCCGTACCCGTCGCACCACCCTATAAGTCGCATCAGTCCATATTTGTCTAATAAAGTGGAAAAATCCATAAATATGTTGCTTCGCCGTATACGTCGCATCTATTATGTGTCACCGCTGACACGTTGTGTTTGTTACGCGTCACTGCTGACAACCCGGAAATGTGGGCTGGTGTTGTGCCAAAAATCAATGGGCTGCCAAATGGCGGCTGCAGGAGTGTGCACGGGAGGACTTTAACAAGAAATTAACAAGATTAACACTTAAAAACTATTATTTGTTTGTTCAAAATTATGTTAAATGTGTGTATCAATCTGACGTTTGCTTAATAAATGCACTTTGAAGGTCAAATCAGCTGCATTTCATAACCCCATATGTGGAAGTAAGTGTGTGCATGCGACGAATCCCTGTGCAAATTTAACAAGATAAATGCCTGAAAACAATTGTTTGCTCGAAATTACAGTCAAGGTGTGTCTCAGTCTAACATTTGTTAATAAATGCACTTTAATGGTCAAATCAGCTGAATTTCAAAAATAGTTTTGTTGCCTCGGTGCTCCGGGAGTGCGCCGAGGGAGGAAAAAAGGAGGAGGAACGCTGCTCGTTTCTTGGAAATTTCACAAGAAAAGCACCTAAACAATTATTTGTTTGCTCGAAATTATAGTAAAGGTGTGTCTCAGTTGAACTTTTACTTTAAAAATGCACTTTAATGGTCAAATTAGCTGCATTTTGCTGGGGCGGTGCAGCTGGTTTGACGGTCGGTCCAAGCAGCGAGCAGAACGAAGGTGGGGAAACGATGGCAGGCTGATTGAGTCATTAAAAGCTGGTGAAGATCCTCAGTCATCCAGGACATGGTAAATTCAAAAAAGTTCAAGAAACAAAACAATAAAGTATAATAAATAAAGTCCAGTTGTTTTGTCTTGAACTTTTTTTGAATTTGTCATTATAGCCACGTTTACCTATTACATGATACAACGGCATGCCATACACTATACTAATACTCTGCTGCCATCAAGTGGCTGAAAGTGGTACTGCTGATTTTTTTTCTTCTTCCAGTCAGAATGAATGAACACGGTCATATCTCAGCCAAATAATGGTTTATAAAAATGGGAAAAAAATCCATAAATATGTCACTTCAGACTATAAGTCACAGGGCATGTAAATTATGCAAAAAAGTGTGACTTATAAGGTGGAAAATATGGTCGGTATAAAATGAATTATAGATTCTTCCAAAAGGATTCCCAACAGCTGCATCCCTGAATGGTTGAAAAGATTTCCCAGCGTTTGGCTGGATTTCTGCACGTCAGGCTTCAGCTGGGATTTGTAGTGTAATGCTTCATTTTAGGCACCAACCAATCTGTATCACTAATTGCAGCTTCAATGATGAACAAAAAGCACACTCTCCATCAAGTGTTACTACAATAAACTTTAGTGAATCCTGCTTTAGTGTTTTGCCTGTCATCAGAGTGGAAGCTTATTATTTTAGGGGTAAAATCGTCTTGCTTTTTTTTCCTCATAACCAAACTGACAAGTGTTAAGGAATGTGCTGTAGAGTGGATATAATTTCCAACTAGAGTGATTTAATTGAATACAATTTCTGATAGAAAGACACTGGCAACAAGTGCTTCTAACAGTTTTTAAAATGTTTAGTAGGATGCTTTAAAAAATCCATATTCTTTACATATACATGAACAAATAATGAATTAAGTAATTTAGTAAACAATTGCACATAAAAAGTCATGACTAAGTGCGAACCATGGTGTGACTTACATGCTGTAAGAGGCACAACACCAAGCCACGCGAAGGCCACCAGTGTGTAGTGGAACCAGTATCTGATGGCTGTTCCAATACTGGTGACCAGCCCTGCAAAGATATCTTGAACAGGAAGACGTGATGGCATGTCTGGAGAGTAGACTGCAAAAAAACAAAATAACAAACTGATGTAACTGGTCAGTTGGGGGCGCTGAACAACACTTTCATACAATGTGTGTGTCCTGAATGATCTCTTAGAAAATCTTACTTGGCGTAAATGCAAAGCGGTGTTTGCATAATTCACAGTATTCTTTTCGACTGTGTTTTAGCCACTGTAGTAAGCTGTGGAAATAAAAGAAAACATTGGAAATGTACTCGTTTAAGATAAAATCACACTGTTCATAATCATAAGGGCTTTTAATGTTGGAATGTTTGTTTCACACTTGTAATGTAGTTTGTATAATTACTTATTTATGCCTATTTAAATACAGACTGACATTTATCACTAAAATCTTTTAAAACTAATGAAAGTATACTAATTTCAAGGTCAATTATTTTATGACTGTCATACCACTCTTGATGAATAAATTTGATGCTGCCAGTACAAACACAAGGATGATAAAGTGGCTTTTCCTGGGTCCCCTCTGACCGACATACTCGACAAATATCTGTAATAAGAACACACACACATAAACAATTAATATGATAAAATAGGATTTCTTTTTCATTTGTTGAATCAATAAATGCATTTCCCTTGAAAGACAACTCACACAAACAGTATAATGTATGCTCAACAGAAATTAAGTGCATAATATCTTCTAAAAAACTAAGATGTAAAAGACAGATACATTTGTGATGATATCAGCACAAGGACAGGGCGTTAAGGACAAACTGTAATCCCTGGATTACCGCTATATCTGAATGCCAAAATAAAATGACTATAATAAGCCTGTGATGGTGTGGCAGGCTGTTGTATCATTTATACTGAAACAACACTTATTCTTATTTACACCTCTAAATAACAACAATTGCTTTCCTCCTAGTCACATTGACACGTTACTTGTAAGAATTTAGATTATAAATACCTTAAACAACATTCCTACAAGTCAAACATTCTATTTCAAAGGTCTTCAAGGCTACAACATTAGGAAAAAAAAAACCCAAAGATTTAAAAAACTCATAAAAGCAACCAGTTTAACATAGTGTAAACTGGATATGCATGGTAGAAAGAAAAAAATAATTCTGCTATCCAAAGATTTCTTCATATCCATAATCAAATCACCCGTTTTATGTTAAAATTACTTTTATTTTTTTTGTTCAGATATATTGAATACGTCTGACATTTAATTAGTTACTTATTTGTACTATTTTCTTCCTTTTTTGTATTACTTGAAAGATATGTAAAATTAAAATTAGTAACAGTATTTATTTGTTGACTGAAGACAAGAGGCGTTGTGGCTAGGAAAAATATATATTTTATGTAGGAATAAGTTACAATGTTTGAGTATTTGTTTGCAGATACCGTACAACTGCACTACTATCAAACCATTAAATGACCAATCGTATTGCCATACCTGAGGATAGCATTAAGGATACCCCGGGCCGTCAACAAGCCAAGTGCATAAACAAGATTCCCTTACCCTAAATAAAGAGCCGAGACACTTCCCCGAAGTTATCAAAACGCAATAACAATAACAGCCATCTTAAACATTATGATAAAAAAAAATCTTAATAATTTCAAGGTGATGTGAGTTTGTTCTTATATTGGGTTTGTCAGCAGGTACGATGTCAACATGTAAATGTCCCATCTGTTGTGGTAAGAGACTTCACGTTGCTCTAAACACGAGGTTTAAACAACAAAATGCACCTCCCTCGAAGAGTTCAGTCGTTGCTACTACAGTCAATCTGTCGTGGCAGGTCTCTGTCTGAACACAAACTATCAGAGCAACTCCGCTGACTGTATTTACAGCTGCACCTGGGAGCTAATGCCCGTTAGCAGCCTAGCTAGCACTAACGGTTTTTTATCTTGGTCATCACCGTCACAGTTTCAGCGGAGATGAACTCAGGGATGTCTCACACTACGACACATACCTTAACATACTTGTTATAACAAGTTAGCGCACACAATGAGGTGATTTAAGTTTCAACGTTAGCTACCTTCCTCGGCGGTGTCCATGTTGACTGGCTGCTGCCGAGCAACCCTGCTCCACACCAGCGCCCTCGACCCGACAGTCAGAACAAAAGCGACAACAGTTTAACATTTAGAAGTAAACATGTCGGCTTACAGGTCACTTCGAGCTGTGACATTACTGCATGCTATTAAACTAAAGACACTTCCCTTTTTATTTCATAGTTCATCAGCTAGCGGTCCTTACGCGGAGCTAAAACACAACTGTTTCCGTATTGTACCCGCAAGATGGCGACAAAGTACATCAACTCAACAAACACACATGTATATCGCACACACATACATATGTATATACATGCATACCAAGTAATAGGTAATATAAAATTAATAATATAAAATAATAATAGTAGGTAATATATTTGTCATATACTAAGTATACATATTAAATATTATATATATATATATATATATATATATATATATATATAT